CGTGTTCCACGGCCATTTTTCCGCCCGTGCCACGTGGTCCGCGGCCATTTTCCGCCCGTGCCACGTGTTCCACGGCCATTTTTCCGCCCGTGCCACGTGGTCCGCGGCCATTTTCCGCCCGTGCCGCGCGATCCGCGGCCGTTTTTCCGCCCTGCCACGTGGTCCGCGGCCGTTTTTCTGCCCTGCCGCGTGGTCCACGGACACCGGAACAGATTAACGGTAATTATATTAAACCTTATGGGAAAATTTGCTTCGGGTTGCGAACAAATCGGGTTGCGACCAGAGTCACGGAACAGATTAAATTCGTAACCCGAGGTACCACTGTATTGGTTTCTAAATTGTGGCTTGTTGAAGGGCAATAATTAATGATCCTGCATCCACAGGTGGTTGCTCAAAAACCTTTGGAGCGCACGTTTGGAATTTTAAGGACAAGTTCCAAGCGCTCCCACAAAATCGTATTAAATATAAGTTGAAGAAATGAATGAATAAATTAAATTAAAAATGGCTGGCAGGGAAGATGTGGGCAGGCAGAAAGCTTTTATTTATTTATGTATTACAGTAGTGTTGAGAAACACTGTATTACAGTAATTGTATACTGCTTCTTATACTTCAGGAAAATCCTTACCCAACATATTGATCTCCCTCCCAACATGTTCTCTCTTCACAGTCTCTACAGACTCTTCTTCACGTAAGAAAATCACATGCTCCCCTTTTAAAGGCCTCTGAAAAAGGGAAGACGGTTTCACTCAGAAGACCTGATTTTGCCACATACGTACACACACAAAATCTCAGCAGGTCCTTAGGCTTTGTGAGGCTCATCAAGACTAACGTAGCTACAGGTAGTCCACAACCTATGACCATTCGTTCAGTGACTGCTTGACGTTATGACAGTGCTGAGCGAATGGTGGTTATGACCAGTCCTCAGAGTTCTGACTGTCCCAGCACCCCTGTGATTGTGATCTGGGCATTTGGCAACCAGTTTGCACTTACAATCGGTTGCAGTGCCCCACGATCATGTGATCACCATTTGCAAACTTCCCTGCCGGCTTCCCCAGAAAGTCAATAGGGAAGTTGGCAGGGAAGGTCGTTAAGTCTCTCCCACCTGCGCACCCTCCCCCAGCCCCTCTGCACTCGGACCGTGGCAGCCACTCATGAACCCCTGCACCCCCTCCCTGACCTGCAAATCTTGCGCACACTCTCGCACCCTTGCACACCCTCCCCAACCCTCCCCTGCACCCCCTCACTCCCTCCCCCA